GGAGACCCAGGCATGGGACTTAACACCTTCCCGGTTAAGGTCCTCTCCAGTTTGGCTGAGCTCTGCTTGTTCAACCTTATTTTCCACTAGAATTTGCTATTCCCTATCCCAACCAAACAGACCTTATTGGTCATCAGACATATTGTAGTGTTTTCTCTCTCTGACCTTTTCTCATGTATTTACCGGTTCACCCAAACACTATGTATTATCTACTGTATGTTTCCTTCTCTAACAAGCACTGGAGACGCAATACGACAAGGGAGGTGTTAGGTAAGACCCTCCGGGGGGTGTCTGATGGGCAATCCATTGCCATGGGAAAAATGCAAATTGCACAGAAGTTAGACTAGAAAATATAGTTTATTTAGAAAATAAATTAGAGACAGAGAGAGGGAAGATTCACCTCCCCAAGAAGGGGAGGGGGCCAAGCTAGGAATCATGGCAGCCGTAGCCCCCAGAGACACATGGCCAGACCATAGCTTAGAAAAGCCGTGGCGACTGGCTGCTTGAAGTCAAATCCTTCTCAGTCTTGCCTTTGATCGGGGCAGGTGATTAAGGTGATCGGGTGTGGTTTTTCCCATGTCATCACGAAGGAGCAGGCACGCACAGGTTCTGACATCAGGTGGTAGACAGTAGGCAGATGGGTGGGTTAGTCGCATGCTGTTGCCATGCTGTCTGCCATGAAGGGCGTGAAGGCTAACTTGTTTACAAAACAAACTGGGGGGAATCTGTAAAGCAGTGATCAATGGCTCCCTCTGAGAAACCAGTTGGGTCCTTGGCGAGTGAGAGGGTAAGTTAAAGTGAACTGAGGGAAAAACAGGACAGATCTAGGCAATGTTAAAATGGCTGCTCTTTGGCTATACTGAGCCCATCTTATGTCCCTCCAGTAGGTAAATCCTTTCCTGTCCGGAAATCGTTTCACTTTTGGCAAGCAGTCTTAGGTCTCATTAAGGTCTTGCGATCTCCCCTGAAGTCTTTGGCCCTGCAGGACTTTGCATCGGCCTGTCTGAGCGGTCCCGTGCCACCCTCTCCTCCTCCACAGCTGGCCAGGACTTGGGGCTCCTGAGGTTTCATCCCCCACCCCCACCCCCACTCCTCTCTCCTGTCACACATGAGACCAGATCTCACATCTCCATCCTCCTTAGCTCTGCCCTGCATGTGGAGACTTGGAGTTTCTTCATTCTCTAAAATATGTATTACCGCCCTTGTATTTGTTCTGGATACATATTCTGAAACAGCAGTGTCTATATTTTTCTCTCCTATTTGAGTTTTCTTCCTTGGGGCATTCTACTGTTCAGATAGAGCTTCATACCAAGAGGAATGAAACGTGGGTTTCAGAGAACAAAGAAGTGATTTCTCAGGTTTGATTTTTAAATCAGAGTCAGACTATCAGAAAAGAGAAACAGCCACAGTCATTGAATTTGAGCTTTCAAAAAAGGTCAGATGGTTGACTTCGCCTTCTGAAAGATGGGAATAAATTTCTTCAAGTGCTCAGCTTGGAGAACGGATTGCAGAGTAATGTAGAGTGGGAAGTTGAGAACAGGATATGAAGGACATTCTTGTTCAGAGAAAGGTAAAGCACAGCCCTGGGCAGGTGAGGCTTCGTAGAAAGGTGAAGTGTGAGAGTCTGCTCTGTCTCTTGGCGATGAAATCTGTGCTCGGCGGTTGGTGACTCGGTTGAACAAACACACTCAAGGATTGGGAGGAAGTCCAAGAGCTGTAGGCTTCTTAGAACGAAGAACCCGAATTCCTGGATTCAGTAAAGCGAGTCCTGCCTCCTTGAGTTGCATCCTGGAGGGATGAGGATTCTCAAAGAAGATCGTGCTGTGCGTGCTCAAAGCCAACGTGGCGTGGGAAATGTGGAGCAGCTGAAGCGAAGAGCAGTGTCTCACAGGAAATGAGGGCGTACAGGAGAAACTGAGGCACAGAGGAAGCTTGAGTTTGTGATGGAGCGTTTGCGGAGTTGTACCCCTTCACGGCTGGAGAGACCACGGCTACAGCTAAGGGACTTTTCTTTCCTCGTCTTCAGCCACCCTTGTTTCATCACCTTGCTTTATTTTTCCACTGAACTATTTATTGGTTTACATACGAATGTTCAGCATCCCTTCTCTAAAATATAAATACGCGAAATCAGGAACAGGTCAGGCTCATTAACTGTATATCACTGGAACCCAGAACAGTCATGAGACACATGGTAGGTGCTCACCAAATATACGTTGACTCCATGAAAGAAGAAGGAAGAGAGGGGCCCAACTGGGGCAGATGCTGCTGAGAGGTAGGGCAAGACTAGGGAAGAACCACATTCATGAGCTTTGGTCTGGGTACCCTGGGATTTATGGGTGACCTCGGAAAGAGCAGTTTCGCCGGAGGTGGGAGCAGATGCTCCTGCGGGATGGCCATAGAGTGAGTGGGATGGGATAAAGCAGAGGCTGTGCATGTGCTTAACTCTCTTGATGAATTTTTCTGTGAAAACAGAAGAAATGCTCACGGGAGGAGGTGCTATTTAAGCTGTACCTTCAAAGGGGGTATTGTTATCATCAGAAGTGAGGGCCTACCCTATGCAGGAAAGAACTGGGCCTACCTTTTCTTACTGAGTCTCTGGTGCTTATGAGAGTAGAAAATCTTGGGTGAATTCATAAATACATGAACAAGGGCCATAGAAAGAAAGCACCAAATATGTCTGAGGACCAGCGAGCAGTACTTGGTTGAAACAGCGTGTTCTAGTGGAAAGTAAGTTTCCCAATGCCACGTTAAAGAGGAACTTAATAGGACAGGTGTTTAAGAATACATCTGGAGCCGGGCTCGGTGGCTCAGTCTGTCATCCCGCGCTTTGGGAGGCTGAGGTGAGGGGATTGCCTGAGCTCGCGGGTTCAAGACCCGCCTGGGAACTTGGTGAGACCTCATCTCTACAGTAAAATTAAAAAACCAGTCGGGCATGGTAGCGCATGCCTGTTATTCCAGCTACTTGGAAGGCTGAGGCGGAAGGATCGCCGGAGCCCAGCAGGTCGAGGCTGTGGTGGCCGGGAGCGGCCACTGCACTCCAGTCTGGGTGACGGAGTGAGACTCCAACTCAAAAAAAAAGAATACATCTGGGCCGGGATCAGTGGCTCAGCCTACAATCCCAGCATTTTGGGAGGCCGAGGTGAGTGGATTGCCTGAGCCCGCAGGTTCAAGACCAGCCCGGGCAACTTGGCAAGACCTCATTTCTACAATAAAAAAATAAAAGATTAGCTGGGTGTGATAGCACACGCCTATAGTTCCAGGTACTTGGAAGGCTGAGGTGGAAGGATTGCTGGAGACCCCTAGCAAGTCAATGCTTTGGTGGCCTTGAGCATGCCAATGCGCTCCAGCCTGGGCGACGGAGTGAGACTCCAACTCAAAAAAAACCAGAATACATCTGGTTGGCATCTTTTGCCTAATTCAGGGTGCTTCATCTCTCCGGTGTGCTTGGTGAACAACCCTCACAGGAACCCTTTAGAGAGACACAAGTCATCTACGGGACTAGGGGGTCATTGAAGGAGGCCTGAGGAGGCCCAAAGTGGGGCCTTCTCAATTTGCACTTGCAGTTGGTCCTGCTCACAAGAGAATCTGCCTGTGGTTCTCTGTCGGGGGGTAGGAGGACCCACGGGGCTGTGGTTCTCGGAAGTCCTTGTCATCCCTGGTGCGCCCAGTCTAGGCCCAGGGCCCAGCCCTACTCCCTGGTCATCGCCTTGGTCGGGCTGTAGTGACCCTCCCTCGTCAGCTGCTTCGTGCCCACCTGGATAGGAACAGCCTTTTGACTTCCTCTTGACAAGCTGTCTTGGGTCTTCACGTCTCCTCTGAAATCTCATAATCTCTGGGAAGTTTTTTCCGGGTGTCTGAGCGGCTCCATGTCCCGCTTCTCCCCGCCCCTACAACTGGCTAGATTTGGCTCTTCCGAGGTTTCCTCCCCTCCAGAGTTCCACCCCTCTCTCCTATCATAGACGAGAATGGATCTCATGTTCCAATCTTCCTTAGCTCTGATTTGCTCATGTGGACTTTCTATCTCTTCACTGACTGAATGTTGGTCCCCTGCCTTTTAATTGTTCAAAATTTCATCAGATTTTGCAATATCATTAGCAAGCTTCTCTCTTTGCCCTCTACAGTTCAGATAGGAATTGTTTGCCCTACTAGAGAGGAATGTGGATTTCATGTGGACCGACAGAAGCAAATTCTCAGATTTGGTTACCAAAGTGAGTCAAAACAGCAAAAACAAAAATATTGGCAGTCAATTTTAGCTTTTAGGAATGGTAAGGTGATTGACTCAGAAGTCAGAAGGCTGGGAAAGATCTCCTTCAGGAATTCAACATCGAGGGCTACTTTGGGGGTAATGCAGAGTGGGAGACTGAGGATAGAATGTGAGGAACATTCTTGTCCTGAGGAAGGAAAGCTCAGTCAACGGCAGGGGAAGCTTTATAGAAGGATAAGATGTGAGAACTCCGTGTTGCCTCTCAGGGTTAGTTGGCTGCTGGTGACTCAGGAGAACAGGCACATTCATGGGATTTGGAGGGAGTCTAAAAACCTCAGGGCCAACCCACCACAACCACAATCTCTGCTTCCTTGAGTTGTGCCCTGGAAGGATGACAGTTCTCAAATGAGCTCTGTTGTGAGGATCCAAGAACTACATGGTGTGGGACATGTGGAGCACCTGAAGTGGAGGGCGCTGTGTCACAGAGAGTGAGGGGCTATGGGGAAACTGAGGCACAGGACAGGCACAGGTGTGTGTTAAAGAGGTTGTGGTGTTCTAGCACCCCACGGCCAGAGGGGTCATGGACACACTAGTGAACCTCAGCATTGGATGCCTGAATATATCCAAGGGACCAGGAGGTCCAGGTCTTACTTGGAATTGCCCGGGTCAACTTACCCAGAAAACAAGCTCCCAGTGGACACCAAGAATTCCAAATAAGTCCACACTTGGGAGCGGAACCATGCTGAACTCAAGTCACATCCTACCAGCAGCTCACAGTTAAATATACCTTACCCTGTTGTGCTAGGCAAGAAGATGTTTATTAGATACCACAGGTGAGACCATGAGGGGGTTTTCCCAGTAAAGAGCTTTGTCGGTGAGTCAGCCCAATGCCTGACATTTCAGTCTTCTGTCTCCAAATCCAAGACCTGTCTTCTGCTGGAAACTGCTCTCCAGATCTTGTGGTGACGTTGAGGATGACTCTTCAGTTCAGATCTCTTGTGCCAGGCAGAAGGGGCAGCCACTGGGACTGAGACTCCAGGGCGCCTCGAGCTCTTTCTTCTGGACTATTGTCCCAGGGCACAGTGAGGGGCTTAACCAGGGCACGGTGCTCCATGCAGCAGGTGTAGGGGCTCCGTCTTCGGGAGGGGGGACTTCCACCACCACCCACCACCACTAAGTACCATTTCTACTAGGAAGGAAATCTTCTCGTGACTGAGAGTCCAGCACCTCGCCAGCCAAAGTCCAGTCCAGACGCATTTCCCGGGGGCAGAAGCCATAAGCCAAGCAACTGAGTGATCTTTTTCTTCATGTCTCATAGCAGGTGACCTACCCAGGAGGGTCTGTGGAGGGATAGAGTGTGACTCTGAGGGCTTGAGGTCAACTTCTCATGGCCCACGTCTCTCCTCACCCCCTGGATGTCGGTGGTCAGAAGGGTCTAAGCTCACTCCCTGCCTCCCCCAGGAAACCTTCGCAAAGATCAGCTAACGCTGTCCCCGAGCCTTCCCTGCTGGATCGTGGACTGCCTGTGTCTCCTCCCCTTCCCCGCCCCACCTCACGGCACATCACGCTCTCATGGAAACAAGTTGCGAGCGCCCCACACCCTCCCCCACGTTCCCCCACACCTCAGTGTCTTTGCAGATTCCCCCTCCCCCAGTCTCAGCCCAGCACCCCATCCTGCTGCACTGCCCACTGCTGCCTCTCGTGCGTCTCATATCAAAGTCTGCACTTGCGGACTTTAATTCTGCTCACACGGGCTCATGTTCGCCCTTCCGGGGCAGACACTGTACACACCTGTCTTCTCCCCACAATCAAGACCAGAGGGATCATTCAGAGAGAAATGACCGTGGGATTTTGAGTCTGAAATATGGACTAGGAGTCCAAGCTCCGCCTCTTAGGGACAATGGTACCCTAACATCTCTGACCCCAAGCTTTCTCATCTGTCAACGGGACGTCACTTACAGAAGCTCACCATTGAATCGGAGACATTTCTCACCCACCAGCTCTAAGCTGTAGTCACCCCCCACCCCCGCCAAGGGAAGAAAGGATCCTAGGGGTTGAAAGCTGAAGGGGGCCGGGGAGGAACCTCAAGTCATGACAGATGCTGGCCTGAGATGCTCCCGGAGGTCCGAGCTTGTGCTCAGCTTGGTCTTACTCGGCTCAGAGCTAAGGGTCAGGAAGAAGCGCCTACCTCACTGGTCCAGGATAGTCACGCTGAAGCTCAGGTATATCTGCAGTGTCTGAGGGCACTCCTCCTCCAAGTAGGCCTTGGCCCGCTGCACAGATCCTGGATCTGCCTCCCACTTCTTCTTGGTGTCATAGGCTGCTGGGTCCAAGGGAATCCAGGCTGGGATACTTGCATCAAATTCAATGAAGTCCCTTCCATCGTAGGTGTACTTCCAGAATGCTCCATGGCTTCTGTTATTCTGCAGCTCACAACCGAAAAGTCCCTGCAACATGTGAAACCCTAAAGCCACCCCCAGCCCGACAGGGAATTAGTCAGCCTGGTGCCAACCCCATCGTAATAAATCTTACTCGGCCGGGTGTGGTGGCTCAAGTCTGTGATCCCAGCATTTTGGGAGGCCGAGGCAAGAGGACTGCCTAAGTCCACAGGTTCGAGACCAGCCTGGGCAACTTGGAAGACCTCGTCTCTACAATAAATCAAAAAATTAGCCTGGCCGGTGGTGCACGCCTGTGGTTCCAGTCACTTGGAAGGCTGAGGTAGAAGGATCGCCAGAACCCAGGAGATTGACACCAGTGTGGCCATGAGGGTATCGGTGTACTCCAGCCTAGGCGACAGAGGCTCCAACTCAAAAATAAAAAAATAAATCTTACTACTACATGGTTAGCAACCCATGGGAAGAAAGGTTTTTGCAAAGTAAGCATCCAATTTCTTTATCATGGCAAGTATGTGACTCCACTGGCATACAGTCTGGTTTAGCTTGTTAAGCTTCTGTGAGATAAGATCGCTCTTTCCCAGTCTGGGAAATTGAGAAATACAGACTATGGACAGAATTTTAGCTCTTCTGCGGCATTCCTTTTTATTTATTTGAATCTATAGAAAATGCTTGGAAACTTGTCACAAGCACAGCAAAGCACATTATCATATTTGATAGAAATTATTTGTAGCGTCTTATATAATATGGGACCATAGCATTTTCTCTCAGTTCTAGGTGGAGTTTATAGCGTCACCTCTGCCTTCTGTTCTGGCAGCTCACAACCAAAATCTTGATAGCCATATTCCAAATCTCCAAAGCCAAAGCCCCTTGCCCCTTACCAATGACTCTCCGAAATTGGCCTCCTCAGGCCAAAGGGACACGACATATTCCTTGTGATTCTGAGTGTTTACGTTGATGCAACACTTGTGCTGTTGGCACGGGCTCTGATAGACCTCAAACTGTCTGGGCTCCAATCCAAGATGATCTCCACCCCACACCTGGCTTCTTCCATGGACTTGAGCCAATAACCTCCTGTGCTTCTCTTTTCTCATCTCTGAAATGGCCGTGGAAATCGGCACTCTACTACAGGGTTCTCATGAGCATTGGATGTGCTAAGTGCTAGGCCTGGCACAAAGTAAGAGCTTAATAAATGGCGACCACCATCATTTTCTAATACCCTGCGTTCATCTCGTCTTCATCTTTACTCATAACTATTCACTTTGCCATTTATCTTCCAGCCAGTGAAAGATTTTCCCAGAGTCCTTCCTGGACACCATTCCTATTGCTGACAGACAGCCCAGGCCATTTTCCTTCCCAAGACTCCCCATTCCCATCTGGCAGATGTCTCCACATCTCTTGCCTCCTCTTAGAAACCTCAGAATCCATGCAGCCTCTTGGGCATTTCTGTACTCAGGAGCTCACCTGCTAACACTACTCTGTCATCATTTAGCACGAGCAGTTCACCAGGCCTGAGACTGGTTGCCTTGGAAGCAGCCCGTGTGGTTTTGGAGAAAGAGCTGAGCTGGGACACAGGAGCCCGTATCGGTGTGAGCTCGGACTCCAGCTTTTCATGCCACAGAGCCGAGGTCCCTGCCGGTAGCCGCTCCCGTGGACTGGAGGATCTTTAGGGCTCCGTGAACTCTCTCACCTGTGGGGGTTTCTTTCAATCCTGCATCTAGGGACCTCCCAGCGTGGGCGTGATTTGCACTGGGTGCTTTCTCTCCATTCACTCAACACGTTACGACAGAGCAGAAATCGACTGAACCCTATTCTAGGAGATGGGGCC